TATAAATCACACAGAATGGAGTGTATTGAAAATCTGAAATAGCACAAAGTTTCCTGTGAGGGGTAGGTTTAGGGGTAGGGTTGGTGTAGGACAATAGAATATACTGTCTGTACAGTAGACGGTCTGTACGGTCTGTACAGTAGAAAAACCATTACGCCTATGGAGAGTCCCCACAAGGATAGCTGACCAGTGTGTGTGTGTGTATGTGTGTGTGGAAAAGGTTTAGTCAATCTACTCTCCTTATGCAAAATCTCCCAACTACAAATTTATTAAACCGTGCTGCATGAAAAAATCACGTTTTGACAACTTGAGAAGATATTAAATGTTACTGCCATTTGTGTATGTGCTGCCTTTCCTTCAAACCCATAATTTCTTTAATGTCATGACCTAAATTGTGGTCCCCACGGGTACAAAAGCTTATAAATCATACAGAATGAAGTTTTTTGAAAATCTAAAAATGCAGAAAGTTTCCTGTGAGGGGTAGGGTTGGTGTAGGGCAATAGAAAATACGGTCTGTACAGTAGAAAAACCATTATGCCTATGGAGAGTCCCCACAAGGATAGCTGACCAGTGTGTGTGTGTGTGTGTGTGTGTGGAAAAGGTTTAGTCAATCTACTCTCCTTATGCAAAATCTTCCAACTACAAATTTATTAAACCGTGCTGCATGAAAAAATCACGTTTTGACAACTTGAGAAGATATTAAATGTTACTGCCATTTGTGTATGTGCTGCCTTTCCTTCAAACCCATAATTTCTTTAATGTCATTTGTTTCATGTTTTGCACTTTGATGACTTGCTTAGGATTCGTTCATTCATTAACTCAATATTAAAATAGAGGTTCTTACTGCATCTGAATTATCACTATGTCTCTAGATCATCAGTTGCCATTTTCTTTTCAGAAAATGACATTATTTTTATGTTGCACTTTTTGTGGTTGATTTATAGATCATGTGCATTGTTTAAAAAAATAATAATAAAGTTTGTACTGTAGCAACATGTGTTCACTTATATAATTGTATTGACTGTATTTATTCAAAATATGTTTTTTAACAATTTACAAATTTTCATACAACATTCCCTAACAGTAACACACATTATTAAACACCGTTAATCCACATAAACGGTTTTTCTGTCAACACAGCAAAACTATCGGGTACAAAGAGTTCATTGTCTATAGTGGCGATTTAAAACTCGTTCCGAATATTCACTTTCTTCATTTTTAAATCCTCTGGACCGAAAGAGGCAGGCAGCAGCTCCTCAACAGTCATCTCTACATAGGAACCGTCAGGTTTGGACAAATACACGTCCCAGTTTGCACCGAACTGTTTAGGTGAAAACCAAAATAACATGTTTAATGAAACCTGAGTATGCTGCTTGTTTCATTGATGTGAAATACTGTGGTAAATGAAACTTGCCTCTCTCATGAATTGTCTGCAGCCACCACAGGGGGAAACGAAGTGCTCACACATATCACTAAAAGAGCAGAAGACACTTATTGATGCTGTATTATACTAAGAGAGTCTATTTCCAAATATGGAGTTAGTTAGAAATGTTATTCAACCACTAGAGGGCCTGTTGAATGCAGTAGAACTTTACCTTGCAATAGCAATGGCTTTGAAATCCCTGTAGCCCTCTGAGACGGCTTTTGAGATGGCAGTTCTCTCAGCACAGATGCCCAAGCAGAAGCAGGCGTTTTCCACATTACAGCCTTATGTAGAGAAATAATGAAGTTTAAATGAGAGTTTAAATGTCCAAGTATGTTACATCACACTGTGAACGCAAGACAAATAAATATTATGTAAGGTACATCTCGCACTCGTGTTTTGTACCGAGTTTGATTTCTATTGGCTGGTCTGGAAGAGGCCTGTCAGGTCATGGGCCAAGTTTTATTTACTTTTTGTTACGACAAAAGCGTCCTCTCTCGTGCCACTGGTGTGTACTGCAGTGACTAACAGTATGGTCACTGTCTGAAGAACACTAAAGTGCTGTTTCATCGCAGTTCAAGGCTGTCACTTGAAGAGCAATAAACAACTGCGTTGCTTAATCCGATCAAAGAGTTATTATCAGCAGTTAACCTGAGCATTAGCCTGTTCAGATCAACAGAATTGTGTATTGCTTTTGAATACCATAATACCAGTTTTGTTCAGTGTTTATAGACTACATAATGAGCAATTTGTTAATAAGTCAGTTGGTCTTTATTCCATACGCTTTTTTTTTCTGGCCAAAATATGTTGTACATTTATGCTAAATATATGTTGTAAACAGTGAAGCTCAATGAACTTTAGTTTTGAAATTGAAATATATTTACTTTCAACCCTCAAATACTCAAATATATTTCAGGGTCATATGACATATGTGAATGTATTTGAATTTGAAATATAGAGGGCAAAATATTTTTAAGTATTAATAAATATATTTTAAATGTTTTAAACAAAAAAAAAATATATA